TTTGGTCTCCATATAACGCGGTACGAATGATGTGATTTGTACTAAAATCTGTGTTTCTTATAGCGCTGTTTCCATACAACGCGGTAGCCGGTTTCCATACAACGCGCTACGAATTAGCTTGGTTTGTACGGTTAAATCCCAATTTCTTATAACGCGGTTTCCATATAACGCGGAACGCACTTGCAGCGTTATAGGAGGTTTTACTGTATATATATGTGGGACGAGCGTCTTCATGCCAAATACTTAAATAGACATTCGTGAAAAGATTGAACGGTGGGCCCTGGATAGCTCAATGGATAAGGAGCAGTCGCCCGCAAAGCGAATGATATTCGTGGTTCGATTCCCGTTTAAGTCAGTCCAATGACCCAATTTTTTCACGAATCCTACAAATGAGGGCTCGTTAGGGATGAAGGTTTGCTTCGTAACACGCTTCTACGATCGTGCAACAACGGGAGAAAAAAATAATTAATGGAAGATCTATCAAAAAGAGAGGTTAGGCGATTGCAGCGACGTTGAACGGTTGACTGGGGAACTAGGCAGCGGCCTGTAAATGCCCAGCAGCGTGTTCAGAATTAACGACGTAAAGACGTGAAAAAATTAATAGTACAAAAAGAAGTATGAATTAGAGGGAGTAGGATAAGGGAAAGCACAATAAGTACTGAAATAAAGATGAATGTGTTTTAAAGGTAATTTAAACACATTAAAGTTTATTTTGAGATGAATGTGTTTTAAAGTTAAGAACAAACTGTAAACCAAGTCACTCCACATAACTGTAAATCTGGGAAAATAAAGATTTATATATGTGGGACGAGCGCTTTCATGCCAAATACTTAACACGTTGCCTGCCCCACGCGGCCTGAACGAGAAGTCTCCAAAAAACGGTTTGGCAGGGAAAGTGTTAAATAGGCATTCGTGAAAAGATTGGACGGTGGGCCCTGGTTAGTTCAATGAACAAAGAGCCAGTCGCCTGCAAAGCGAAAGATATCCGTGGTTCGAAGCCCGGTTTAGTTGGTCCAACGGCCCAATCTTTTCACGAATCCTATAATACTCAAACATTAATCTTTAAATACATATTAATAATTAAGAAAAAAAACTACAATATTATACAGATAAACAAGTTGAAAACTTGAAATTGACTACACAAAGCGTTTTGCAACATGAACAGGACGAAAAAATAAAACTACGTTGACATAAAATGATTGACTTTTGAAAACGAAATAAAAAGTGTTTGATGGGTGGCTAAACATTTCTTTAGAATGAAAAGAATTATATCGTCAAATGTTTCACCCATTCTTCCTCGCAGTGTCATAATGGACGCTTTACACAAACATGAACTAATAAAATCCTTCTCCGACATTTCATTCATGAGAGCTGATTTAAGAAAACAAGAACTATCCACATATCATGAGCATTAGAAGATAAGATTTATTCAACCGAATGATACTGACAAATTACCGGAAGGACATATAACTGGCAAACAAACCCATAAATTACTCGAGAAGTATCAGTACGAGAAACTCTTCGATCAGCAGACCTTTCAAGTGGTTTTGACTGCTGAGTAACACATGCATTCCTACCAAAAGAAAACAAAGTCCTTCATCCTAAACTAAGGTTTTCCCGTTGCATAGTTTTTCTACTACCACATCCATTAAAAAACGTTAACTTTCCACATCGATGGATTATGGGGGAGAACTTGCTGTCATTGGACAATTAATCTAGGGAAAGGATGACGATCATCTTCTTCCTATAAAAACCCTTGAAACAACAGCATGAAAGAGTATTCGTATAACAAGCATCAATTGACAAGTTCAACATCACGAAGAACGCACCAGCTTTGAATAACGCAGCAGAACAACGAGGAAGATCACGTAAACATCGTAGCAGCAAATCACGAATCTACAAGTAACGAAATAATCAAGCAGCTCATTGTCGGAGCATCATTCAACACATTACGACCCAAGAACAATCGATATCACATATATGCACATCAGCATTATTTGCGATAAACACAGTACCGAGCAAGGGACTGGAACCTCAACAACACCTTTATTGGGACTTCTTCAGTAACTATGAAAAGAAGTATATTACATAACCTTAAAAATAACTAATTTAATCAAAACATTTAATAAATGGATATTAATTAATGTATATAATCCTCATTTGTTTTATGTATTCAACATTTTTCAAATTAATTTAAAAAAAAAAAGACAATAAAAGTAAATTAACAATATATTTTTGCAAAAATAAAAACCAATACCTTCAGACAAGTGATGGAGTTGACACTTATGTTAATAATAAATTCTACAACGAAGAAGTTCCTATCGACATTTGCTTCGAAGCATAAATCCTACATCCCGCAAACAATTCATCTAGCCAACATTTATTTACCTAATTCGCAAGCATAAAATACTAACGATTTATTACACTTCTTAAGGTCTTACATAGGTCATGTATTTTCCAAAATTCGATTTTTTTTTTTTTAACACATTGTTGTTCTCTATAGTTTTAAGCTTATTTCTGTGAATGTCGCAATTGCAAAAATTCCCCAAAGATTCAAAGTTTTGGTAGAAAATGTGACTACCCAACGAGAGTTTGGTGCACGTAGATGGTTGTCTTTTGTTTTAGTTACTTCAAACTTTAAACGCATTTTTCTCGAAACTACATTTTTCTGCCACGGTCTGCATTATAACTTATACAATTTTTAATATTTTTTGATGCGGTTTTTTTTTTTAAATATTCGAAATCGTTTTCTCTACAGTTGTCGAGTC